ATTATTATTTTAAATTTTATTATTGATCAGTGAAGAGATGGAGCTGCTCCATGACACAGTAGAAACCTGCCTTCTGTCTGCCTGCAGCAGATTTCTTTTAGTTAACCAAGAGTCCATTGTATTACAAGGATGGGAATGATGGATTAGTGGGTTTTTGTGATGATGTGGATTGTTTTCTTTTTATAGTATCACCATTTGAAATACTGCTTTGTGTTCTGTCTGTCAACAAAGTTAGCAATTTGCAAACTCAAAACCCACTTAAAGAATGGGTCATGTAGCTAGAAAGATGTCTGTATGTCATTGTAAACCTAACTTTTCTACATGAATTTGTGATTGAATTCTTAAACCATTAACTTAAGTGTGTAATGGAACAATGGTGATTTGCCAATAGCTCAGGAGCCACAAGTGGAGCGTGTGGTTTACACAGCTTTATGCAGTCATATTTCATATTGTATGGTTCATAAAGTACGTCAGATTGGATTTGGAAACTGTCTTTGCAAACTGTTCTCTTCCATTTTTGTATCCTCCCTTTCTCCCTCCCTCCTGCTTTATCTGTCCCTTTTTCTTATATTTTCCTTCTTTTTTCCCCTTCCAACTCTTTCCATTCCATCTCAATGTTTTCCATAGTCATTTCCCATCTATCTACTCTGGAGCCTTTCATTTACCATCTTTCTGTTATTAGTCATCTTTGTGGTCCACAGTAATGAAAACTAATTGACCATCTGGTAACAGTAAGCCGTCTTTACTATTAAAAGAGAAACACTGATATTTCTGGGAAATGATGCGAGCACTGAAACTAAATACTATTGTGAATTAACAATGTACAACTTCACCTTAGTACCTCTCCAATCTTTTGTTGCAAAAGTCCACTTTACCAGTTTTAACTTAAGCATCAAAAATTAAGCAAGAGATCTGACTAGATCTTCATTATGTCCTGTATAAAAATTTTATCTGGTGAATGAAAACCTATATGTGAAAGTCTTTCATGCTTTTTTTTCAGCTGTGCTTTGATTATCAGATACAAAAAAAAAAAAAAAAAAAGGATTGGTCTATGAAAGAATGGGGGATAGTTTCAAATCCTACCTGTATTTCAGGAAAGACAAAATATTTTGGAGAAATGAAATAAACAAAATAGACTGCTTTAAGAGATTACAATTCATAAATACCTATCTGTGTTCATGAGTATGCGTGAAGCTCTGTGTGCTGTCTGAATCTGTTCTTGCTGTTCCTAATACATAAGACTTCTAAAGAAACAGTAAACCAATTAGACTGAAAACTCTGATCATCCTGTAAAACTATGAGGATAATGTTAGATTGAATTTTTTGTTTTTCCAGATACATATTTTTAACCATGGAAATGTTTTATATGTTGTATATATGTGACAGAATACTTGAAGGATCCTCTACTGCTTTATCTACTGAAAATTAGACTGTCCACTCAAAGCTAGATTGTTGCATCTTTGCTTATGGTGCTTTTTATGTTCTCCATTTGTGACCTCACTTTAATTAGTAGTAGCACAAACTCATTTTTTTTGCCATTGTTGCAGTCACATTTTGCTGTTCATTCATTATACTGTTTTATGCTGGCTTCGCATTACAAAGCAACCTTTTTTCATGTTCCTTTATTTATTCATCATATACTGTGTCCCTGGCCCTAGCCATGTTTTCTTTCAGTACTAAATTCTTGGTTTCCTTGAAAGGTATAAAAAATTTGAAAAATGAGTACTTGAGCACTCAGCCAGATGCTCTGTAAAGCATCTGTACAGACTGATTTCTGTAGGAATTTCAACAGTAAATTTCAAGGGCAGGTACATGTCCAACAGATTATTTCCTTAACTCCAGTGGTATGTTAACAAATCATCTAACTGTGTATCTTTATCTGTCTCTTCTAATTGTTTTCAGGATTCAAAAATTTCTTCCATGGAGCGTGGCCTCCGGGATTTGGAAGAGGAGATTCAGATGTTGAAGTCAAATGGAGCTCTGAGCACAGAGGAACGTGAAGAGGAAATGAAGCAAATGGAGGTGTACCGTAGTCATTCCAAATTCATGAAAAATAAGGTATTGAGAAAACAAATGATAGTAATAAGATAAACTGAGCTCAGCAAACAGAGAAATTTTCATACTTCAGTAGAGTCTGGGTTCCCATTCAAGTGCTGGGAAACAGAATTTATTTGTATTCTGCCGTGAAGCCACTAAAATATTTACAGTATATATATTTAAGATATTTAAGTATTTAATATCTAAGAGACTTTTACATTCAAATTTGAAAATATTATAATGGCGGTATCATGGCCCAAATCCTGCTTTTAGTGTCACACCTAACTTTCTTTTATTTCAGAAGGATTTTGTGTTTATCTTTAGACCATTGCTAATCCATTATAGCTTCAGGTTTTATTTGATATATAGCCTATTGAAAAAAGTGTTTCTTTTTTCAACTGTTCTACTATAACTAGCAGATCTTTGTATGATGCAAAGGCTGAAAAGAGCATGAACTGTCACTATAATGGCTTTCTACTACGCTCTCCTTCCAGTAGTGGAGTCAGAATGAGAGTAGATTCTACAACAGTGGTGGCGCCAACATTTATTTATGCTGTTGGGAATACAGGACAAATGCAGCAGTGAGAGACATGTTGATCCTCAGGTATAAGGATGGACACTGAGTACTGAATTGTCTGTAGCCAAAAGTCAATTCATTCTTTGTTTCTTCCAAAGAAGTGTTTCTCAGTCTTTTAAGTGGGCCCTAACATTTTCTAATGAAGATTCAGGCCACCTTGTACTGTAAATTTAAGTATATTTTGAGCAATCCTGCTTTTCTTAGTTAGCTTTTGCATACTGCCTGTAAGAAGTGAACAAATCCCTGGAACAGAGGTTGAAAATTATTCTACTAGGTTCTGAACAATTGTAACCTACTGCATTTGTCCTACTTGAAATTATTTGTTGAAAAAAGAATGCTGGAGAAAGTTTCTTGGAGAAGTGTTACTTGCCCTAAAGTAGAAACATGTAATAAGTATGTGTTTCTTCGACTTCCCTCACGCCAGCTCACTGATTTACCTCAAGATAACCACATCTGTTCTTTTATACTTTTGCCCTTTATCCTACTGTGTTGCTTCTAGAAATTGAAGGATATCCCCTTCAAATTAGGAATGGAGAGACCATTTTAGCACCTGTTCCTTCCATCCTTTCTTTTTGCTTTCTGCTTTCCTTCTTTCCTTGTTAGCAACTCTTCGATTTCCCCTTCTCCCCTCCTTCTGTGGGCCTATAGATCTGTTGGCTACTCAATTTCTGGACCTCTTCCATCTACTGTGTCTGCTCACTTACTTTCCTGCAGAAAATTTGCTCCTTTTTTTATGACTATTCACTCATGATTCGTAGTAAGCTCCAATCTTGCTATCTTGCTGTCTTACCTTGTTTTGTAATTGCACAACATTTATTTTTTCAGTATTGTATAGTCATCTGTGGCTGTATCTTGACAATTAACTTTATTTCTCTTAAACTGAAATATGTCCCTTTTTCTGTCCTAATTTCGTCATGAATTCCAGTTTCAAAACCGTTTGGTGAGGTGCCCCATACTTGACATATATAAACGTAACTATAACTAGACATCTTTGTTTCATAATCAAATTCTTGTCTGGCAGCCTATATGAAATTACAGAGACATTAAACTTTTGAGAAGACTTAACGAAGAATGGAAGAGAAAATGAATGACCAGTGTTGATCCTTCTGTTCAGTTCTTTGTCACTTTTAGTTCCTTGGATTGAAACAGGCTAACTAGAAGCTGACAAATAATAAATATTTAAAAACATAACAATGTCGTGACAGGTAGAGCAACTGAAGGAAGAGCTAAGTGCCAAAGAGGCTCAAGGGGAGGACCTGAAAAAAAGAGTGGCTGGTCTCCAGGCCGAGGTCTCTGCAGTAAGATTTATCTTTTGTGTGCAGTGGCCATTCACTGGGGCTTGGTAGCTCTCTGGCTTTCGGGGTAACTTTTCTTCTCTTACCTTCTTTATGCCTTGATATAACAGTAGAACTAACAGCCTGCTCAGCCTTGTAGCTGCCTTTTTGTTGACATGGTTTTGGTGTCCATAACATCACTCTTCAACTGAACATCTATATTTGTTTTGTTACTGGTGGTTTTTAATGGTATGAGCAGTTCTAGAAGTAACTTATTCTTCTCTTTCGAAGCATATTTTCTAAAGTATTCAGCACCCATTTTGGGGCCAGACTTTCAAAGAGATTTTTTTTCCCTAGTAGAAGAAAAATAATTTGAAAACATGTGCAGAACCCTCTTAACATTGTTTCACAAAAAATAACAAAAGCTGGATGCTGAACGCTTTTTAAAAGTGATTGTTTAATTTTAGCAGCATGAATTTAGGTTATTCCTTTGCTGTGAAATCAGTGCATTTGCAGAATGATCATAGTGATCAAAGTGACAGAGAGAGATGCGAGTGCTTAACGCTGCCTTAACTTCTCTTGCAGCTTGGAATGGTATGCGCTGCATTCCTCCTGAAGAGCTTTAGCACATTGGCAGTGGGGGCTTACAGCTCTGAAATGGGGATTTTAGAGAGAATGATCTTAGGGTGCTACTTGGGAATATTAATGTAATGAAATGTGGTTGTGTTTAAATGAGAACATTTCACCAAAACACAAATATTTAGGATAAACTACTGTTCTGAGATGAACCCAAAAAGAATGCATATTTTCAAAGAAAGACCAAACTGGTTTGAGAAAGTTTTACTGTAATTCAGGCTACCTACTAGTTAAAAAAGTTTGTGTCATCTGAAATTTTTAAGGAACTGCTTTTGTTTAGATACTCCAGAAAACTTAACTAGCAGTAAATAGTTTCTCTATTCCTAGCTATTCTGCTGTGCCTAGCAGTATTGTGCCACTGGTTGTATTGGCCAGTAGCTGACAGCAGAAATAGTGCTGCTAATGTCAATACTTTAGTATCTAATTTAAGTAGGTGGTGAAATTCTGTGGACGTATTTGCTTTTATTAAAAATATGAAAAAAACAACCCAATATGTTTGAATTAGGTGAACAATAAACTATCGAATAGTTCTATAAATGAAATTCTTCTTATACTGCTTCCCATTGTTCTGTTTTAAAAAACTTAGTTTGTGTGAGTTTTTTTGAGATACATGTCCTCCTCCTTCCGCTCCCCTTCTTTCTTATCTCGTTACGTACGCTGTTTCACACTGGAATACAGGAGTCCTTGATGACATTTTTTGATACTATTTTAATACTCCTCGGCAAAGAGTGTTCTTTCTTTAATTGCCCATTATTGAAACAGTGTTGTCAAGATAAAAACCATATATACTCAAGCTTTTCTTCTCAGTTATTTCTACTAGTACATGCATTTATTCAAATTAAAAATAAAAATAAAAAATATAAATTATGGCTTATATCAATTTAATTTTCTTCTTGTCACATTCCCAGCAATGGAAGATGACCTGTACAATTTTTTTAGTTTGTGATGTCCTTTAATTTCTGTTTTGAAGCATTAGACAACATACTTTTGTGATTGAGGGAATTTTTTTTTAATGTCACAAACAAAATTGTTCAAGTTAAAAAAGGGAAAACTGTTTAGTTTTTGGAGATATGCCCATCTCTGCTATATAATATGTAAAAGTAAAATATTGCTATTTTATTCTGTGAGGTGTATCACAAGCAAACCAGAAAGATGATTATAAACTTGGACGTAAGTCTACATTTAGACTTCCCTGTCCTCTTTATTTGTTTTTTTCCTTCAGATTTACATCAAAATTGTCCTGGGTGATGATTGCACTTAATATGAGATTTCATCTCATTTCCGTGCTTTATTTTAACATTTCTTACTGTTTGTCTTTTAAACTCATAATCCAACCTACATTTGTTAAAATAAGTTGGCATTTCCTTACTGATTTAATTTGCTAAATTAAATCTAGGAAATTGCTCTCGACAAAGTGCAATTCCACAAACAGTTTCCATGTTGTTCTGATGTATGTTTGCATCTGCTTTAAGAAGCTTCCATGAATTAAAAGGTATTTCTTAGAAGATTGAAATGCTGGTTTTGTATATAGCGGGAAAGTGAAGGTGTCTTTACGTACTCTGTAAGCATGAGACTGGATTGATAGATGGAGAGATGGACGGAAACTCGCTGGTTTGACATTTCAAAGCAAACATCGTGCTTCTGAGAGAGACCTGTAGGTATCTCATCTTTTCTGATACTACAGTGTAAGGGTACCTTGTCATTACAGTTCTGCTTCATCTTCATTAAAACCTTATCCCTGCTAAGTAACTGGTTTGGGTCAGTCCTTTGAAAGACGACTAAGAACAGACTGCCTCTGTTAAAAAAAACCCCACCAACCTCTCTTGAAAAATTGATCCTATTGCTCCCCCTTCTTTTTCCTTGTATCTTTTACTCTTGACACAAATTTTTACTGGCCTTCCATTCAAGATAACCGAAGGCTTCACAATTCTGTGGGATAAGTTTAGAATATCATACTGTCTGGTGAATTTATAGTTATTTTTGTAAGGAAGGTATAAATTATTTTTTCCTTTGCTCATCTTTCTTTTTCAGATTGGTCAGGTGAAGCAGGAACTGTCACGCAAAGACACTGAGTTGCTGGCCTTGCAGACAAAGCTGGAGACCCTCACGAATCAGTTCTCTGACAGCAAGCAGCATATTGAAGTTCTGAAAGAGTCTCTTACAGCTAAAGAGCAAAGAGCTGCTATCCTGCAGACAGAGGTGAAATACTCACTGACTTTTCATAGAGATATAAAGCGCTATTTCTTTTCTTGCTTATGTTATACAATCCCATAGCCACTCAATACTGCTTGTTCTGAGCACATTCTATCTTTAATTATATGTTTGATTCTCTAGGCCAGGGGATTGATCATAAAGGCAAATATGTGTGTACAAGTGCACACATATTCTTGTGGATAAATACACACTTGTACAACTTGCTCCACTAACATGCAGTCACTAATATTATTTTTCCTAGGCACAGCTAAATTGTAAGTTGCAATGCCTGAGCTGGGGGGATTTATTTTCAATGACCTTGTAGCTACAAGAGAGCAGAGAAAGGAAGAGTGTTCCAGTAGTATACAACTCACTGAGGCTTCACTACTACTGTAAGCATGTATGGGAACTCTTGCATGTAAGCCTGTGCTTACACCTGAGATACGGGCTTTCATGTTTTATGATGCATATTCCAAGATAAAGGAAAAATATTTTCAAAACTGTGTTTCGATAATAAATGCTTAATAAATTCCCATATTACGTAAGATACAAGTGTATATCTGAACATCAAATGGATACTAAGTATAGCATAAATTTATTACTTTTGGACATTCTTGAAGGAAAAGTATGAAATGTTGTGTGAAGACAGCATTTCAATCCTCTGGCTTGGAAAATTGTAGTGTTAGTAGGAGTCCAAAAGATGGCAGTCATGCATCAAAAAATATTTGTGTTGTTACAGCTAAACCAGTGAAAAGCCAAAGGAGCTGTGAAATATGTATGTAGAAAATTTGTGGGTAACACTGGTAGAAAGATTCCATGTAACGAGAGCATAAGAATTTATTTGAATGTTTTACCCTCATGTAGCTTTCCTTTATCCATGTTCAGTGAATCTGTGGGTCCACATGCAGAAAGCAAGTTATGTAGCAAATATCTTTTGATGTTCTAAGATGGCTTTTCTGATTATTCTCAGATTTACGTAGAAGTTGAAATTGCATTAGTCAGTATAACTCTGAAAGTGTGCTAGTTTACAATCATAAACTTCATGTTAAATTTGTTCATTCTTTTCTGCTAGTCAGGAATGTACCCTAGTTTCATACATGTTTATTTTAAAAAATATTTACATTTCAAAATATCATTGGAAGTATGTATTAGGTAAATAAACATTTTAAAATGTAAATTGCAGGTTTTGATCTATTACAGTGATTGAAAAAAATATATATTAAATCACTGTGCAGTATTGTGACAAACCAACGAAGCTAGAAACACATTTCTCTTCATACTTTTAAATAATAAAAAAGCAGTACTTTACTGCCCATGAGAGGTGAAGTTTTCGAAAGAGTGCACTTTATTAACAAGTTAAAAGACTTCAGTAGATGGTCATAATTTCAGCTGTTGTGGTAGGTAAATATTTATTCGAATAAAATGTATGGAATTTTAGCAAAATATTTAAATAAGACTCAGTTATATGCCATTGATAGATACTCTTGATAGTTATTCAGAACATTTTGATTTTATTTCAGCTAATGGCCAAAGAAGTTTTTTAATATAGAAAACCATTCTACTCTCTAACTTGTAATATTACTAAATAATCATTGAGAATATTTGTTCTTCACTAGGCTCTTCAAAATGAGATTCTCATATAGCACCACAATACAAAACCAAATCTGATTCTTCCTCTGAAACGTGCAAACTCTTTTTTTACTAATAAAATGTGGCTGAAAGGCAGGGCGAAGGCAGGAGAGAGATATATATTTTCTACTTACTGCTTTAAGTAGAATTTAATAATTTAAATTTAATAGATTTAATGGATTCAATACAGTCTAGCATGTTCTCCACAGTAAGGTGTAGCAATCTGGTATGGATATAACACATATGAAGTGTTGTTGATTATCAGGCTATTCTATTGTGTCAGAGTAAATATTTAGAATGATCCATTTATGTTCCTGAGAATTTTTATGTAATTCCAAGAAGCTATTTATACTTTTTGAAAGATAATCACATCTTTTTCATCCTTGCTGATGTTCTTGACAGAAAGCTCAACAATTGAATCATCATACACAGTTACCTTTCTTCTGTCTTCACAAGTTATCCTCTCAAGTGTAAGATTGAAACATGTCGATAAAATGCAGTGTTGAGACATTTGTCATTGCATCCTGTGATGTATTTGCATTTTTTTAAGGAAAAAGATATCTTTCTATACAAGAGTTTTCACTGGAAATAGAGTAGGAACGTGAGAATCCTGCCTGGCCTCACTTGTTGACAGCAGTGGTCAATGTTAAAACGTAGCTAGCCTCTCTCTATACACCTCAGTTATGAGAAGGGAGAGAGGTGCATTTTCTGTCATGTATTGGCAGACATCTTCATAGGGGATTGGTGTTTTAAAGTCATTTTTAAATAAACATTTTGAGAGAAAAGAGCATACCTTTATAAGCCTCTGTCTTTTAGTCTTCTGTTAAAGAAAACTGCAGTTAGAGTGGGGAATAGATGTTGGTATAATACCTCAAAAGTGGATTTGCCACCTGCCACACTGGAACTACAAAAAACAGTGAGCTGTGTGTGGGGTGTTTATCTTGAGGGCTGTTGGGTGGAGAGCATATTGTGGTTAACTTTTCAATGTGTGAAGGACCCTTTTAAAAATAGCTCTAAAAATGTACAATCTCTTTGTAAACAAAACAAAAAATAAATCAATATTGATTTTGGAGTTAAGACTTGATCATATAAAGTTTGTGTTTTGCCTAATGAGCCCCTTAGATTAGGTCAGTGCCAGAAGGTACAAGGTTAAATTAATCAGTGAGAACATTCCCCTTTATTTTTGTATACTGCCTGAGCTGGCGTGTTTCTGTAATTGGTCTGTTCCATATGCTAAATTCAGATTAATATTCAGTAGAAAAATAAATCCAGTCCCCTGGAAATATTTTATTTACTCTGAATGTCTCGGTAGAACGTAAAATTCTCTAAGGGTCTGCCTTTATTGGGGCTTATACTGGCATTTTGAAACTACAGTAGTCTCTCCCGAATCAGAGACAGTTAGGGAGTGGATCACATTTAGTGAGGAATGTGTGAATGGGAGTGGGGTGTCTCTAACAAGACTTGTTAGCGCCAGCTACGTGAAGACCTATGTGAACACCTGCAAACGTTAAGCTCAGCTCACATCACTGAGTTCACCGTGTTTAGGTATTTAATACCTTGTGCTAGAGATTGCAGGAGAACAGTTTAACTGATTTCTGACCTGAGCAGGCCCCGGAAGTGGTACATCTGCCCTGCATTGAGTTTATAAGCCTAGCAAGAACCAAACAGGCTCTGCACAAAGCCAGATGTGTGCACCTCTGCTCTATGGCATACTCATGTAATCTAAGGTATCCAGGTAACTGGCTTTGTGTTGATAACGAATTCACTCTCAAGTCTCCTACAGACCGTACTGTATATTGCTGCAATTTGTATAGGAAGGTGAAGAGTCAACTCTAATTAGTAAGAAAGATCAATGTCAAAAATAGAGAGTTAAGTCTTGTGAACTACCACTGCATTCAAAATCAGTCAGTAAACATAGCTTTTAAAGTCTTAATTACAGACTATGCTATCAGGAAAACAGCTTAACTCTTTATTGTGTTTATATGATGTGTTTGCAAGATAGTAATAGAATGTGACAAAACTGATGCTTTTTAAAATGTACTCGTTTCGGGTACTTGGAGACTTCACATAGCAATATCTACAGTAGGATAAAAGCAACATTTCACCTCGCATACCAATTATAATTAATGTCTTCCTCTGCATTTCTCAATTATCTTTGAATTCTGAGTGCTGACAGAATTACTTCAACATCTACTTTAAAAAATAGCTAGCTCTTGTTAGAACCCATAGCAAGCTCTAAACACATATTTCAGGAATGATTTTCTGTCTGTTCCTTTTGCTGCCATTAATGTAGTTGTACCAACAGAGAATAAAAGTTTTTAATTTTGCCATCACGAACAAATCAGGGCTTGGATATAACACAGGAGAGACTGTACTTTCTGATATAACTGAATGGAGTATGGCTTGGTTCACTGATTTAAATCAATACTTCAGCCATGGTTTAAACAGGTGGCAGGAAGATGGCAAGAATCACTCAGTCTCAGGAAAAGAATAAAGCACTGTTTTTTTTAGTGTAGTGACAGGACAAGGGGTAACGGGTTTAAGCTGAAGGAGGGTCGATTTAGATTAGATGTTAGAAAGAAATTCTTTACTGTGAGGGTGGTGAGGCACTGGAACAGGTTGCCCAGAGAGGTTGTGGATGCCCCATCCCTGGAAGTGTTCAAGGCCAGGTTGGATGAGGCTTTGGGCAACATGGTCTAGTGGAGGGGGTCCCTTCCTGCAGCAGGGGGGTTGGAACTAGATGATCTTTGAGGTCTCTTCCAACCCAAACCATTCTATGATTCTGTGATCTTCCTAAACCCAAGTGGGAATCACCAGTGTCATAATACCCTGATTGCTACTGTACAGTGGAGATGATGGTAAAAATGGGAAAAAACATGTGTGCAACCTAAGTCCTATTGACTCAAGCTCCTGAGTAATTTCTGAAATTCACTGTGGACTTCTGAAAATTTTAGTGATTTTCCTAAGCTACAAGTTGGGAATATTCTTAAAACTAAGACTTTAATCTAATTACAGAATCCAAGATTTTAAAAAAGGCTTAAGAATAAATTTAGATTAAATATTATGTCATTTATTGTGTTTATTCTAGTAGTCATTGGAGCTATTAATGCTCTAGTTTTTCTTAGAAATTTGGAATTCTACGTGCTTAATGTATACATGCTATACATATATAATGCTATACCTACTAGGAACAGAGCTATAGAGTATTATTTACTGCTACTGGAAAATTCTGTGAAGACAGATGAATAATTCCCAACACAACTTTTCATACATTGTTCTCACAGTGAAGAAATTTAAGTCTTCGTATGGTACCCAACTGAAAAGAGGTACCTGTTGTACCTGTCCCTAGGAAGGGTATTATGTTGAAGGTGGCAACAAATGTGCTTATTTTGCTAAAGCTTCATGGGAAATTGGATGGTACGTGCAGGTCCAGTGAGCAAGCCCATTGTTATAGAGAGGACTAGCAGTTGCCTGAGCTGTACGGTAATATTTTACTTGCCATGCATAATTAAAGACATGGCAGTTTATTACTGTGAAAGCAGTTAGGTTAACCCAGGGTTAAGACTGCACCATCCAAGACGCAGAAGTCAGGAGAAGGGGCGTCAGCACCTCAGTAGCTGTTTGCCTAGTTGTTTCCATGTCCAGAGAAAATCTTAAGCTGACTTTGTTGGAGTTGGCATCACCTGACTCCCACAGACCTCAATTCTTCTCACTGTGGGAGGATGCTATACATAAACTGAGCTGACATGAATAAACAAGTGCAGTGTTCTGCCAGGAATAGTGCTAAAGTGATGATTGTGTGTCCTGCCAGCCTTTGAAAATATTCTTGAAAGTGTTTTCTGTGGTTTCCTAGGCAGGGACCTCACACAAATAAAACCAGGAATGCAATTTACCCCAAACCGTAAGCTAATATAGAGTTCAAAGAGAATAATCAATCAGAAAATGGAAAGCATTCTGTGCATAAATTTCTGTTTGCCGATGTTCTCTTTTCACTTAATCCTGTGCTGTAGGCATCTGGACTGTCTCAAATATTTTGCAACACAACTGTTGAGAGTATGTGGATTTGCTTGTGAGGGAGATTTTTCAGTTTCCCTTCAAAAATGAATGAAAGTGGCTCTTAGCTTTAATATTAGAGATATCCAGAGAAGAACATACCTAATCAATCTATAAATCTGTGTGTTTTTAAAAAGAAGACAAAACCTGATCCACCTGCTAAACTTTTCATTTTTCATTTCACTAGCAATCCTATAAATCATATTTGGGTAGTACCTGGTACTCTAATATGACTGCAGAATAATACTCCATGCCCCACTTGCTGGGTGAGAGGTCAGGAATGTGATTTTAATAACGTACGTGTAAGTGAGAAGGCTCCAGACGTAGAGGTGGCAGTGGGATTGCAGTGCTGATGTGGGGAGAGCAGGGCAGTTCTTTTCCCCACTGGCAAGTGCTTATTGCTCTGTGTAAAAGGAATCAGACAAAACAGCAAAGGATTTTGTGGGCATAACATACTGTAAATGCAGAGCCTTAGAGGCAACTTTTCCATGTGCAAATTGAAATAAAGTGGAATTAGAATAACACATAAAAAGTAAATGTTGCTCAAAATACCGTAAGCATGGCGACTATCCTAGCTGGAGTTGTCCAAGTTATTTTTTCACTTCATGTCTGTGCTAGCCTATGCTGTGCAGAAGGACCAAGAAATTCATTGATCACCCTGTTTACTCTGTGTGACTGATGTCCTGTAATGGATTCAGCTAACAGGAACCAAATCTGATACTGTCAAATAAGATTAGCAGCCAAGCTGACAGATGTGAGCTCTGTCTGAATCCCGAGTGGATAGGGGTCAGTGGGTTTCTTTTGGTATCTTGAGCAGGTTGGTGGTGTTGGATTTCGTATTCCACAATGGTCTTTGAGATTAGTCTGTGCTTTGTGGTGACCTTTTTCTCCTCATCAAATTTATATTCAGATAGCTCTGATTCCTTCTCCCATTTCTTTTGTCTTGTGAGCACTGTGTTTTATTCGTATAAGAGAAATACAGAAGGAAAAGCAAAAACTCTTCAAGATGCAGTTATGAAGTTTGAGGATACTATAGAATTCCCAGAGTGTGTTTCTAAATTTATTGAGGCTATGGGAGCTCTAAGTATGTTTGTGTCCAAATTACACCCACAATACCCTGTACTGTGTCATTTGTTCCCTTTTATCTTTAATATAAAACTGCAT